TGATCCAAAGTTTGTAAATAATTTAATTAATATGGAAGATTATATGTATCAAAAAGTAGAAAATTGAACAAATATAGATAAAACAGGATAAAAGTAGTAAGTTATTATTCGTAAGAAGTTATTTGAGTATTTTTGATACAATGTGACAATTTGATACTCTTCTGTACTCAATTATATTTGTGTAATACCTATCCTTAAATATTTGAATATTTTATTATTCAAATAATAAATTTAGAATATAACTAAATTTACTTGATTTATATCTTCAACTTGTGATTTAAGTACACGCAATGATTCACATAAATGATTATTCGAGTGTAACAAAAATTCTTTGCATAGTGATAAAACTGGCTCATCAAGTTGAAGTAAAAGATCAACAGACTTAGTTAATTCTTTACCAGTAATCTAGAACATTAAGGACCATTTTAGTAAATGTATGTTTCTAGTACAATAGTTAATATTATAAATCAATAATCATTAATAAATAGTTACATCTTTATYTCTTAAATGGCTGTATAAAATGTTTTTAAGTTCGTTCACTATTTTATTACAATCATTAAGTATTCCCTTTAACGATTCTTGATTCCCATATTGAGTTAAAACTCGTTGAGCATGTAAATATTCTCGAACAACCTTATAAAGAAATTATATTAAAATTACATATTTTAGTTTTGTAATAAACAATCAGTTTATTAATATGAATAACTGAAATGAATACATTATTCTACCTGTGCATAATCTCCTTTTATCAAATGTTTATTTAAAGTTGCTGGAAGCGTGTAAACAAACTGCAAACGTTTTAATAATGTATGGGTCTCTGAAAGTTTTGAAATTTCATCTTTATTGGCCTATATGTATTAAAACACATACATAATTATCCAAATAATACGGTTAGTATTCTATAAAAATTCTCACTTACGTGCAAATTTGATGTAATTATTTCTGATGTTGTAATAATCTCATCCATTTTAAATAAAAGTGATTCCATATCCTCTTCTAAACTTTTAAAATCATTTTTCATCTACAATACAAATAAATAGTTAACAAATTGTAGCCATTCTGGTATTATATTACACATATGAATAATATGAATATAAAATATTATTTTCTAGTTTAATATCTTACTTTTCCTATTGTATCAGTAGCCAAAATAAATTTGTTGTAGTTTTCATAAACTAAAGTTTGCATATCAGAATGTAAAGATTGAATATCTTGATGTATTTCTCTTTCATGATCAATAACTTGTTTCAAATTTGACTCCTGAATAAAATTATGAATTAATACACTTCATAGACATGAAACAATGTAATTTTTTGTTTTATAACGTCAAATGAAATTATTGAAGAATCAGAAAAAATTATTTGAACATAACTGTGATACAGAATAGGTTTGACTTTTTTTACCTTAAGTACTTTTTTCACATACAACTCTGCATTGAAACATGCACCGTTAATGTCATAAGGACTTCCTGGTTTAATATCCATCTTAGAACATTTACAATTTAATGAATATTATTTAAATATTTTTAGTTTTTGGTACGTACAAAATTAAATTAATTTAAAAAAAAATAATTCTGAATTATATCAATTTATTATTTAGTATTTATGCCGTTATCATAACCACGGATATCTATCCACTATTATAAAGTTATGAATACATTAACCTTATACAATAACAACACCAAGCCTTTGATAAGGAAATCCTCTTATCGACCATGATCACATAAATTCGTACGATGAGTTGCCTATGGTGTGCCCCTTATCCAAATTAAAATAATATCCATTTATCCACTAATA